GAACTTCATTCACTAGTTCTTTACACTGGGCTAAAGACTTATGATTGTACTGAAAAGACATCCAACTATTTTGCTGGACAACCATGTGCCTTCATAATCAGTTCCAGTGGTTAAATCCCCATTGTTAAAACATTTTTCATCCTCATTTCAACTTAAATGTTTCTTACTTCAGCTTCCAACTCTTTTTGAAGCCATGATCAAAAAACCCCCATAACTTCTGCTACCAGTTTAAGCCTTCAACATTAACCAACCTCAAGGTTCAAAACGTTGACTGCAAATGGCTCAGAATTAGATCAAACCAAAAAGCTTTCATTCTGATAACTACAGTGCCTTCCCTTTTACAAAGAGTACAGGCCAAATGGGGATACATTGCACTGCAATCCCTCATCGTGACAACTGATGTGAATTTTCTCTTCCTGGTGGACAGCAAAAAATCTTTGTAGCAGTTCAAGTAAGTTTCTTTGAGTTTTAATACAGCTCAGAGAAAAATGTTACAACTACTGCTTCAAAGATCTAAAAGTGGCAATGAAATAGCAGGTTCAGTGGGGCTGCTGGCTTGTTCAATAACCACTTAATAAAGGAATGTATAGGAATCCCCATCAATTTCCTTTGCTCTATTTTTAGGGGAGCTAAAAGGAGGATTCTGGTGCTTCAAGCCCCTTAGCAATTATAAAATGGGAGTGGGAGTCACAACTAGGTCATGACCAACTGCAAATACATAGCTCACAAGATCTTTCAGGCCGGTGAGCAGGGATTAACAGAACTCTTTCTTTGACTAGACTGTGTATATGATTGAAAGCATGACTAGATTTTGATAATCACGTGACATTAACCTTTAAACACAGCTCTTTGTCCATGGATTATGAAATGTTTTACAAATATTAACGAATTGTCCTCGGTATTTAATTGAACAAGCTTTTATTTACCTCCACGAATAGCTGTTACTGAATTAAATATCAAGTGACACTTGTGCATGTGTGTAAATAGACAGCACCCACTTGAACAGCTTACATAACCTGTTGCTCCTTTTAAAACTAATGAATACACATTTAGGACTAATTTTAAACGGTTGTGTTTTTATAGGGTACAGCATTAGATTGCCCCTTTCAGAGACCTTAGATTAGACTGGGAGAGAAAAGGGTGCAAGTCTGTGAACGAAGCACAGGACAAAGTAGCAAGCCACTATGTAGAGGGTTCTAGTTAGCCTGCTGGATTTAGCACAGACAAATAGGGCAAGAGAAGGTCAAGTGTGTGTCCAAACTAATTATTCAGTTGACAAAGTAACCTTTCGGTCTACGCATACAGTCAAAGCCCTCTATATTTTAAGGGTTGGCTATAATCAAAGAATTGCATTAGAGTGGACATCCAGGGAAAACAAGGCTCCATCCTATGGTTGAATAAGCACTTACTGAAGAGCGCAATAACCCAAAAGAGGAAATTATTTTATTCTCCCTTCTCCAAAGAGAGTCAAAAATGGAACATCTAGGGCTAGGTATAAATCTGCAGCCTTAATACTGAGTCTATAAACTCTTCCTGCTACGTCTGCTAATGGACAGTTCTTACAGGACAAGTCATGGTAGCAAACTGAACAACTAGCACTATGGGACCCAAGAGATGTTCACTGTTGAGTCTTGGGGATGGAGAGATGAGCTGTAGTTTAGAGTGGCTGCATTGCTGTAGCCGCTCTCGCCCTAGCCCTGCCTCTCCTCCTTCCAAGCCCTGGTGCTGTCTTCAGAATGGGAACCGGGAAGGGAGCCAAGGGAGCTCGTTCTGGGGGTTGCCCAGCCAGTGCTAGAGGGTGGGACCTGGAGGGTGGGAGAAGTGGATTGGACCCCCGCCCCCCCCGGGCTCGGGAAAAGGCTCCAATCCACCTGCCCCACCCTCCAACACTGGTTGGGAAACCCACAGGATGAGCTCCCTCCACTCCCTTCCTCCTCCCCAATTCTGAAAACAGCACCAGGAGCAGAGTTCAGCTGTGTCAGCCGAGCCCTGCTCCCAGCCATGCTGACAGACGTTAATGAAGGTGCTCTGCTTTGGAGCGCTTTCATCTGAAACTTCATATAATGAGGGTTCAGACTGTCACTGGATCGGGCATTTTTAAAAAGCTCTACAGCTGTGCACTTCTGTCAGTCCACAGCCACAGAGCACTTGCAAGGGCCGACTGTGCAACAAACTGTCACATCTATCAGTGCCCTATGATTCTGCACAATACCACTCTCTAAGTAAGCATAGCACCAAACTTGATGCCACAATACACAATGGCTTGCTTACCATACATGTAGTCTCCCGAGTATTTTTAAACACATTTTGCAGTAATGCCTAATGGCCATAGAGCCGATGCTGGTCTCCAGTAAGTCACTTGTTTTATGAATCCAGACTAAGATCAGCATCAAATGACTCACTTTACTTCAAAAAAAGAACAAATACTTGGATGCCTTGCACTTATTATACATACTATATATAAACCTATGAAGGTGAGTGACTGCTCTAAAGGATAAATATTCCCCGTGCTAAAGTAGCTATTTAAGCAGGCATTGTACACAACACATTTGCAAAGGTTCCTAAAGGCATATTTAGCAAAAAGACCAGAATAGCTTCCCACCCCGCAGCCCTTCCTTACTATGCTACCATTAAAAGATTTTGTTTTACAATTTAAATGAATAAAAAACCACACATCTAAGTGCGCGAGATATCTTAGCTCATAAAATCTTCAAGGCAAGGATTGTTTTATGTTGTGTAAAGTATCTACAACATTTCTGAGTGCTCTTAAGATTGCAATAAAAGAGCGGTAAAAAAGAATAAAACACCTCAAAACAGCCCCCCCCCCCCCCAAAGTATCTACAACATTTCTGAGTGCTCTTAAGATTGCAATAAAAGAGCGGTAAAAAAGAATAAAACACCTCAAAACAGCCCCCCACCCCCCCCCAAGAAAATATTGGGGCTCCTATATTATTGCAAAAGGGCAGGTCATCAGCTTATGTTAATGGTGACAGTTCTACTGACTTCCTCAGCTAAAATACTCTCCCAGCTCCACTGATTTTGATACATGATGCTATATCCAACTCTCACCAGCTGAGGCTCTATCCCTAAAAATGTATTCAGGAAGATATTGGGTCTTAAATAAAAAGTCAACTTCTGCTGTGAAGATTTTTTTGGCAGAGGGAGACTGGGGGAGGAGAAGAGGTGGGAGCAGTGATGGAGCCCACTGAAGATGATTGTGTCAAAAACTTGGTGTTTTTCAAGGTTAATAAAATACATACAGGAGGTTATTTCCCAAATCCCGCAATTCCCTCTATTCTACAACATAAAAACTCTTTATGCCATTAATTTGGAACCCTATTTTCTCTTTGTAATGATGATTCAGTGCTCTCACATCTGAAACTGGTTTCAAGTAACTTTCCTGCCCAGGGAAGAAGTTTCCCTTTCTATAATTTACACTCTAACAAGATATAGATGCCATTAATTGGATATTCATTTTGGAGGTGATGTCTTTTAAACTTGTACATTTAAAAATAATCATGATTATCAAATTATGGTCAGAAGAATCATTTTTCACTTTCCTGGAGAAAGAATAATATTTATCTTTTCCCTCTGCTACTACCAGTCTGCCTGGCAATACCATAAATACCTTCTGCTTCAACCCTAAAACCAAGGAGGTCTTGCTGATCTGAAATCAGAATCATTCCTGTTATTGTTAGGCTCCAAGAAGTCAAAAACCCACCAGGTGGGCTATTAACAAACAAGTTCATTAAGTAGTGATGAGAATTTGGCTTTTTTTTTTCCAACATCCTGACGGTAATATGAGAATAACTTTGCTACTGATAATCTCTACCGATGACAGACTACTAATATTATAACACTAGATTAACATTTTTCATGAATGGACAGTAGGAAGAGACTTCCTTATACCTAAGTAATCAATCCCTTTATCATCAATAGGAATTTACATGGAAGGGATTCTAGAAATTTGCTGAGAAAAACCTATAGCTAGCCATGATAAGCAGAAACCAGTATGCTTTCTGTTAACACGTGTAAAGTAAAAACAAACCTGTATTCTTTTATATAAACAGTAAAACAGGTAATAGTCATATTTCCTATAGAAAGCTTGTAGCTTAGAAATGTTCCATGTATAATTGTTTTGACAAGATTGTTTTGACAGGGCAATTCCCCACTGAGTTGCTTAGAGAGACAGAGAGGATGCTGTACTACATAATAAAAACCATCCTTAAATACAGAGACATAGTACAATTAAAAACACCATCTTAAAATTCAATAAATAAAGCAATTTGGTGACATCTGGCTCAAAGGTCTCTCTAAAAGTCTGACAGATTTAGGCTCAAAACATTAGTTCTTAGTAAAACATGTTTTATATAAATCCACAGAAACATTTCCATTAGTTCTCACATTGATTAGAATTAACCAATGTGCATCTTCATTGCTTAGATATAAACACTGTAGTTTAGAAGTTACAACTCAGGCCTGCAATGATTGTGCTGCAGCTTTAAAGGCAACAAGGGAAGTTTAGCAAAGACCAGTAATATCCAAAATAGGGAGTAATCCCCTAAAAAGAATGATCTTCAGAACTGTCAGCAAAAATGATGAAAAATGAATGGCATTTAGAAAAAATATTTTAGGTTTAAGTACCTGAAGAACTGTCGAGAGACATAATTAAGGAGATACCTGCTTCTAAAAAAAATGTTTGTTTTTTAAAACAGCAATGTTTAACAGATGCATACAAATTCAGTATGGTCTTGCACAGTGCAAGAATTTGTTAGCATTATACACGTTGGTGCATAGTCCCCACTGAAGTCATTGAGTTAACTCACCTGCATAAGAGTTGCAAGACATGCAATCACGAGACACTTTAGAATACATGAAATCACTCTAAGCTAAACTTGCCAGATGATTTACATTTATCATAGCTATTAAGCTAATCCAATTATACTTCAGATCTGGAAAATAAACTCTTCTTGAAGCTGAAACTTGCTTGGGTGACTTACCTGCAGGTTCCAAAGTGGCATCTTCAACAACTAAATTGAATGATGGTCTTGCTAGGGCAAGTCCCGCCATGGTGACCACCACCAGGCAGATAAAGCAAGCCGAATCCCAGCTGACCATCTTTTTAGTGCAAGTTCCTGGTTCTTTTCCATATCTCCATGTGGACTTTAATCCCATCTGAACTCCTCTACAGAAGCATGGACTGAAAGCTGTGCCTTCAGCCTTGATAACACCTTCTCACTCGGAACTGCTGCTGCTGTGGGGAGGAAAGAGATTTAGCAGCGTCAGTGAAATTATCTTGAACATCAATTGAAAATCTTCCCAAAACCTGGGCTGGGGAAGGGCAGTTTAACAGCTTCAAAAACATAGGAAAAATGTAAGTGAGTTTCCATCATCACCTGAGGCACAAGCAAGCCTCCTTGTTTTCAAAAAAATTCTCAGCACATGTTTAGATAACTATTTTAATCACAGAAAAATATATAGCTTGGTAAGAAAAAAAACAAAGGCGCACACATGTGTGGACACGTAACTCTTAATGCTGTAAAATACCATGATTTATGCAAATTATATTTATGCTATTATTTGAATATTTAGAGATTTTGCATTGCTTCTCAGACCTTCCCCCAGACAGTTGTGTGGTCAGCTAAGTTTTAAAATAAACCACTAATTTTCTACAAAGCACAAAGTTGAGAAATATTGTTTACAGTTAGCTGGGTCTCGTGATTTATATTATCTGAGGGATTCCAGCTCTCCTATGTAACAACATTCTTCTATATTAACTTTCCTGCAATTTAAATGTTTGCAGGTCCTGGACGATTAAAAAGGTTCAGTTTTTGCAGCTGCACTTGTTAATTCCGCTACTTTTTTAGAATATAAAAATCTGAATCAAGACTGCTATAGAATTACATTACAAGACATTCTTCCTCAGGTCTCCTTAAAGTTGGAAAAGCTTTTGAATGTATCCCAACTACACAGTTGGTCCAATAAGAAATCCTTGCCTCTTATGCAGTTGCTATCTAGACCGTCACAGCTACATCATCACTCTTGCACTACCATAGAACTACACTTCTCCTAGAGATCACACAGCAACATCAGCTCCCATTTTTATTAGTTTACATGCAAAATCAGATTTACCGCAATCTGTTAAATCAGTGGACATTGTGCAGACCTAGGGGAGGTTTATTTCACAATGCTTAAAACTAGCAATTTAAAACAATGAAGAAAACACTTTTTAAAGTAATAATGTACTGGGGAAAAGCATTAGTGCCAAAGAAACGTGCAGTTATCACAATGGACTAGGCTATCACTACAATGGCATGCCAGATGTGAATCAAAACACCACCACCGAATGGCTTAACAACTGGACCAGAAACAATCTTCTTTTCCCCTCAAAAACCAAAAGACCTCAGGGAACGAATAAATCAAGTAAATGCATCAATTATTCTGATCTGTGTGACCTAGTCAATGATTAATCTTAGTTGTATTAAGACCCAGCTGAAACTTCTAAGGCAGTAGTAATGAAGGGAGGTGGAGGAATCTAAAGTTTCTTTCTTATCTTCCTCCTCCTCCTCTTTCTCTCCCCCTTCCCATTCCCACATTCCCATTCGGTTTTTAATGGAAACATCTAAAAAAAAAAATCTGCTCATTCTCTACCTACAGTACATCCAGCAACACAGGTAGTCAGACAAAAGAATATGTAGTTTTCATTTGCTAAGTACTAAAGAGCTCATTCAAATTCTAACTGAGAAAAAAAGTGTTAAGCTACAACTCTTCCCGTCCCTAGCGCTGAGGAGTGAATGCTCTGTTGTAGTGTATTCAGCCTTGGACACTGCACAGAGTACAGAAAGATGTTTAATATTAACGAATATTTTTAAAAGGCCATTGGATGGGTTTGGGTTTTTTTTTCTTCTGACATGAGATTTCAAGTCCCAGGCTTCTCCCACTGCCCTCATCTCACATCACCATGAAGCCTTCAAAGAAAACAACGGCAGCTCATAGAAGAGGGTGCTGAAAGTTATTGTATTTATTTTTTTAAAATGACAGGAGTGTGGAAATGCAGCCAGTTTTATAAGGGCTGCCTCTGTGACTGCTGGTAGGAGCAAGAACACCTGGGCTCAGACTCTTCATTTTGCCATTTGACTCACTACATGACCTGAGGAAACCCATATCTCTGTGCCTCAGGGTACCCATTGGCACAATCAGTGTAACACCTAATTAAGAGGTGGGTGTGAAGCTAACTTAACTAATTCCCATAAAGCCTCCTGTGATCAAGGGCCATGCAAATTCTAATCACAGCCAAGGGACATCACTGGCAAGAAATAACACATGAAAATGCTGAATTCAATTCCAGGTATCCAGATAATAGCTGTATTAGTCTAAAGGAAAAGGCAATCTGGACTCATAGTAGAGATGATATTTTTTATTAGACCAACATGATATTTGCACACACAAAAATTTCCAGGTCCTCTTTAAAAGTATTTAAGGCCACTCAGATGTTGATGACACAAAGTTTTTAGGCTGCATGAAGCCCCTGAAATGGATTTAAAATGTGACCCTTCACCCTAGCCACCCTCCACTGCAGCAAGAGGAGGCTCCTGGCTACCACCCGGCACACCTGACCATTACCACAGTTTCTCCAGGAGCAGCTGGAAGATGCTCCATCTTAAGGAAGGATTCAAAAGGCAGCAAAGCCTTTCCTACTTCACAGCAAAGCTGAACTCAGCTCTGGGGTCCCTCTATCTGAATCCAATGAGACCCAATTACAGCCATTTTCCACAGTCCGAGGCTCCCTCGCCTCCTAGCAGAGAGGGGACCCCTTTGACACGAAACCCAATTCTTTTCAGATTTTAATTGCCACCGTTGCTGGTGGATAATTCTTTGGAAAGCCCCCCTATCCCGGGTAATTATGTACCTCTGTCTCAATGTTGGGAACACAGCCCCAGCATGCTTTTGGCCTCCACAATTCTGGCTTCCTGACTACAATACCATAATCCCTCCTGGAGTCTCAGACTCAGTGAAAGCCACACGTAGTGTTTATTTTTCTCCTTGAAAGGGAACTCTGTCTCTCCCCTCAGCCTCCACTTTGGGGAGGAGTTGTCAGCCTCCAATGATTGATCGTGCTCCTTGCCACCCGCTCATCAAGTCAATTTTCACCTCCTCACATACCTGCCCAAATTTCTGTGCCAAATTGACAAGTATGGGAAAACAGCCGGAGTTGGGAACACGACCAAATTCCTCCAAGTTGTAGTTCCACTTTTTTTTTTTTTTTAAAGAAAACACACATAAACAAGTAGTACTTGTTCAGCAGTGGCATTAATTATATTCCCTGCTCACTGTTCTTTTAATCTCCTCCCATTGTTGTTTGTCTGGAGAGCCTGCAATTTGTAGAGGGCCTGTTAGCCAAATCAATGCTGCCTATCCCCCATAGGCATCTTCCTTTGGAAGTCAAGGGAGGACACCCAAAATCAGGCTTCCCCCTTGGAGACACCGCAGCCTCCGAGCTTCCCCGGCGGGAAGGAGTTGCAAAGCAGCTCAAAACTGAGCAGCTCAGAAGTGATAGTAACATGGAGCTCATGTTATAGCATCAGCATTTAATAGCGGGGATACACAGGGCCACTTGGCCATTGAATGGTCATGAGGCATCTTCCTCTTTTTTTAAGCTATATTAACAATATCTTATCATGCATCATATATTTAATTCATTCATATTATGTACTATCTTATCATATCACATTGATATAATTGTATCTATCATACATCGATATATCATAATATATAATCAAGTAACCATATTATAGTGTGTGTATATCTATGTGTGTGTATACACATACATACATATACATATATATACACACACACATATATATAGTGTGTGTGTGTATACACATACACAAGTACACTATATATATATAAAAAATGTGTATGTATGTGTGTATACACATGCATACATACACACACTATATACATGTATGTGTGTGTGTATACACATGCATACACACACATACATACATACACACACACATGCATATAACTGTGTGTGTACACATTATGCGTGTAAGCTTGCTGAATAATTGTTTTCCAACTACTTAAGTTGGTCCAATAAAAGATATCAGAGTCCCCCAAAGAACCTCGTCTGCCTGTTATACTTGTGTACACTCATGGTGTGCGTGTGTACACGTTAGATATAAAAAGGACTGCACATCCCAAGTCCGTGGCCGAGTGCCCCGAGAACCGCAGCTATGAAAGGCGAGCTCTGCAGCACTACGAGGAAGGGGCCGGCGACTCGGGTCTGTTTCTTCACTGAACTTGCCTGCGCGGCCAGCCCGGGCGCGGGGCTCTCGCCGAGCCCTTGCCCCCCGGAGCCGAGCCGG